AGTGCTCAGACTGAATTTGGGGAGCTGCAGCAGGGAGCTGGAGCAGCTGTAATCAGGACTGTGAACTTTTTTGGCAGCACCCATGAACGGTAGGAATAATCTTGGAGAAGCTGTAAGCTCGACTTGTAGCGTAAAGGATCAAATCGGCTATTTTGGAGTTCCATCAGAGGAATATATACCAGCAAGACTTTAAAAAGACAGAAACAACAATTTCACGAGTTCTGCCTGACCCAAACTGTGGCCTTGACGTCAGACTTATCTCAACTCCTCCTGAAATGTTTTGAAAACAACAAAGATGCTTTGACCGTATCCTCACCCCTCCCTTCCCCAAGGCCGTGGACATGTGACAGAACCTCAACCGAGCTGATGATGAATGTCACCTCTTATCTGGACAATGGCTGAGAAGGGGGACTCTGGACTATGCTACAATTTTCCCTTAAAAATTCAATGTTTTCACCGCCTATATGTAAATGTATAACGTCTATTTATGTTGCTTTGCTGTGGTAGGTTTTTTTGATGCCTCAAATCGTGCCCTGTCTAGGACACGGCATGGGAGAATTTTTTATACCATCTCTCCTCATGTTTTCTTTCCTTTTCTCATCTAAGCAAAATATTATTCTGAAATAAGAATAATGAAGGCCACACTTTTTATAGTTGCAGCTTCATGCACTCCTCCCATCTTTCGTACGACTATACGTACGTATTCTTGTTGTATCTCGGTGCTATGCCAATAAAGTTTATTCTGATTTTGATTCTGAAATCAAAAACCGCAACGTAAATGTAACTTGTAACGCAATGCATTATAGAAATGTAGTGTAGTAAAAAGTGCAGATACATAATGTAAAATGTAGTGGTGTAAAAGTAGAAAGTACCCATGTTTAACTCTACTTCAGTAAAGTACATCCATCCATCCATCCATTTTCTTTACCCGCTTATTCCATTTTGGGTCACGGGGGTCACTGGTGCCCATGTCCAGCAATCACTGTGCGAGGGGCGGGGTACACCCTGGACAGGTTGCAAGTCCATCACAGGGCCACATAGAGACAAACGAGACAAATAACCATTCACTCTCTCACTCACACCTAGGGACAATTTAGAGTTACCAATCAGCCTAACATGCATGTTTTTGGTCTGTGGGAGGAAACTGGAGCACCCGGAGAAAACCTACGCATGCACGGAGAGAACATGCAAACTCCACCCAGAAAGGCCCCTGGACAGGAGTTTGAACCAAGGACCTGCTCGCTGAGAGGCAGCAGCTCTACCAGTTGCGCCACCGTGCTGCCCCCCTGAAAACATACAATCAGTAAAATGACTCGCTGCAAGTTAAGCAACAGAGGGACGTTGTTAGACTTTATTTTGTTTTTTTCTTCATTACCACAAACTAAAAATACTTTCCTGACAAGCGCCGAGAGGAACTGAAGTTATTTTAGTGGCACCTTAAAGGCTTGGGAAAATCAAAGCTCTGACTAAACATAGTTGACTCTACAAAACAGATAAAATGGAACAGCTGTCATCACGTTTCCCTCTCCTCTGCATCATACTTTGTCAGGCCAACTATTTACAGCACCACTCTCACTGGATGGATAAAACTTGTGACTTCATCCTCTTCACTTTTCAAATCCCTAACATTTTCTCTCTCTCTTTTCAATCAACCTTTATTTATACAGGTAAATCCCATTGAGCCTCGAGGGCTCATTTACAAGAGAGACCTGATTTCAACAAAGAAAGATGACAACAATGGACAACTTGACTGATGCAGTTTGTGTAATTATGTTCATTAAAACACTTTGCAGGTCATCCCCATTGTTTGAAAACCTCAATGCTAAACATAGTTGAAGAATTTCCAGCAATAGGATTTGTTGTTCGTTTTAAAATACACAAACCTGATATTTAGTGCCTAAATCTAATGTTTTCACTGAAATTTTTAATAAACAAAAACAAACAATAAAACACAACAACAAAGCAAGTTGCATAAATCTGTGCCGGCTGGGGAGATGCCAGTTGTGCAGCTGTGAATTCAATGCACTCTGCAATTCAATGAAGTGGAGACAGACGGAGAGAAAACACTGATTAAAGGTCAGCTGTTTGATGGCTTGGAGTGCTGTTGTACTTCAAAGCCTCCCATCATCTGCACAGACTAAAAATTCTTTAATGAATGTACTTTCTTTCATTCATCTTTATTCTGCAGTCATCAATCAAAGTATGAAACATTCCCAAATCCATCAAATCTCTGAGCTGCAATGAAAACTAGAAATGGATTCTCAGGAGAGCAGATGTTCAGTTACTCTTTTATAGAAATTCCAATTGTATTCCAACTAATATACAGTACCATTCATACTTTAGAGCATCTGCTTGTTGTTGTTATACTTCAGTTTTGTTATTAAAAGTAACCTCTTTTTTTCCCCTTTGTAACTGTGAAATATATATTTTAAAGTGGTTTGATTCATATCTTCTCCAACAATATTTCACATTATTTTCTGCCACTTTGGATCATTTTATGTCTTTTTCTTTGAAGATCATTCATTTTGATTAAGTTTTGATTTGTTCATACAGTCACTTTATATTTCCTTTTGTTTCTTAAAACTTTTTATTTATTTTTGCAGCTTTTCTAGGAGCTGTAAATACACACAGCACCCAAATGCACATTATTTTTTGTGTGTATGTGTCCTGATTTGACATTCATAACATGTTTTTTTTGTTATGTCTTCTTGCATTTGTGTCATAAGTTTTAATATTTGTAACTTTATGCTTTTTAAAACTATTTACCTTGATTTACAAAAAAAACGATTTCTTCAGTTCCTTTAAAAACGTTCGTCTCTGAAATCTAATTCAGCATGTTTGCTTTATTTTCATCATTTTGTGCTCTTTTTACCTAAGGTTTTGCCAATTGTAGCTTCTATCTATGGTTTAGCTTTTAGCTGATTTGTCCATTTAGCTTGTAATAACTGTTCTATTCATTTTAACTTTTAGATAAGATTGTGCTAATTTTCTTTAAGATATTGTTTTGATCAATTTAGTTTTTATTTTGCTACTGTTTTTATTTTTTATTTTTAACCTTCTGTTAAACAGAATGTACAAGTACATTTAGCTTTTACTTGCAATTTAGTTCACCACTTGCTCTTGCTGAGGTCGGACGCTTTTCCCTCCCTCTCCGCTTGGCTTTGCTGCTCTGTCTGTCTGTGAAACTGCTTCTGAGCCTCTTGCATAACTTCTGAACCGTAATTATGGACTTGTTTTGATCAGTTGGTCCCTCAACTCTATTTACAACATTTCTTCGAAGAGAAGACAGGCTTTAGGCGAGCCGATTTGCCCTGTTGGCATGCACATAGCTGGATATCTCATTGACTTGGAAGACTTGATGATGGGTCTATCTCTGCTGCCATTTGTGGATTTTAAGGACACATATTTAATTGGATTTATGATAACTGGTTCCTGCTTTTTGGATTCGTCTGGTTGCTGGTTTTATCAACAATCAAGGAAGTAGTCGGCAGCAAATTGGGACCCAGTCACGCTGCTTGTCTTTATGATAGCTTAGTTCGTGCTTCGAGTACCCAGACTCAAATGCTTTGGGCAGAATGGATCAGATCTCTGGGATTTTACTCAGGCATGTTCCATCGGAGTGGCCATGTAATTTGGGCATTTCTGAACCGTTTGGACCAACACAGACTCAAGGTAGATGTCATTAAGTTCTGCCTGTCCCCAAAACATCTGTGTGTTTATCTGAATTTGGCTCCCCTGGCTGGCCTTGAAGGCCACCTTATATGAATTCGCCTGGAGAAAATATAATCTGACGCTCATCCCCCCGAGGAATGTCCAACTGATAACCAGATAAAACCAGCTGAATAAACATTGTTATCATTTCAAGACTCTTGGATTCTCATAGATGTTATCCTTGGCCATTCCCCGACATCCCTCGAGAATGTTTACGGATCTCACCGGAGGACAATGGCTGATTATTCCATCCTTATCAGAACTCTTAAAGTGCCCTCGAGAGCGTCCAAGGACATTGCTCACCACTCTCGTCGTCTCCCACTCTGTGGAATGTCTGTCAATGTGTTTTTTTTTTTTTGTGAGGTGTTTTTTAATATTAGAGTTTTTCTTCTCAGCCAAGAAGAAAAAGTTTAATAGGAATTTTTCGCCTCCAATTCCTACATGTGTCCAGTGTCACTACTTTTTGTTTGTCTAAACAGATCTCACTTGTAAATGAGTCTTCTGGGCTCAATGCAACTTATTTGTCTAAATAAAGGTTGAATGAATGAATGAATGCTTTTAGCTGCTGTTTTGCTGTTAACTAAAATTTGGTTGCGTTGGCTGTTTTGCTAATTTTAGCTTCTGTTCTGCTTGTTTGGATTTTCTACTGGATAAATAAAGTTCTTCTGCATTATAGTAAAATAATTATAGGTCATTTATATGGTTTTTGTAATGTTTTAACTAAAACTTTTGATACATTTGAGGAAAGTCGTATTGACATATTTTATGTGTAAGTATTGTTCTGGACTCGATGGTTCAATCATATTTAAATATGAAATGTAACAGTTTATAAAGTTCGTACTTCATCAGAAAAACATGCCTTCCATGTTTTTGCACCTAAGTGTCGTTCAGCTCGATCCATTTCCTCAGTCTTTATTTTTCCCAGCGGCAGTGAACGCATCATGTGACCCTGATCCATTGATCTTGAGATCCAGGCGCCGCTGGGACTCCTCGCTGCGTTTCCACGCCTCCTACTTTCACCTCCATTGTGGCGAAGCTCCGGGTCCCTCCACTTTCAGGAGTTGGACCGAAGAGGCAAGAACGACACCGAAAACAATCATCTTCTTCCTTCACCCCCACCGGGACTCGCCTCCTTCTCTTCAGGGATTTAAAACTAGATGTTGGAAATGTTGGAGACTCGTACCGGAGGTTCGGAGCTCACGTACTCTACGCTGCGAAGTTGTAAAAGAAGTTCCTTTGAAGTTCGTGTTTTTCCGCCGCCGTCCTCCAGCCTCTAAACCTGCGACCATCATGGCGAGGCGGACTGGGGACAGAGCTCGGGCTCCGACGCCGAGCGCTGCTTTCCGGGATAAAGCCGTGCGCCTTCGCGGCGGCTTGGTTCTGATTTGTTTGGCTCTTTCTGCTCGTGGATTCTGCGGAGCAGACACGGAGTTCTCTATCCTGGAAGAAGCTCAAGTTTTAGCGGAGCAGATGAAACAGCTTTCCTCTCAGGAGCTGGGAGTCTTTACTATGCAGGTAAATAAACAAAACAAAAACGTTTTCTAAAACTAATGCGGTGTTTTAAAAAAAGTCTGGAGGTTTGTAAACCAAAATACTTTCTTGGTCTCAAAGAGAAAATTTTGTGAAATGAAACATTTGTTTTAAAACTAAGCTGCAGGGAAACAAAAGACACTTTGAAGTTTAAACTCATAAATATGTTGAGCTGCTGGTCAGACCCTCTATTTAAGCCCTTAAAATATAACCATAATACTGATTGTCCCCTGTATTGTTAACTAACATGAACATTGTGCACATTAAACCACGTGTCAATTTAAATGCAAAACAAACAAACAAAGAAACAAACAAACATCCTCACATTCTTTTTTCTTTTCTTTTCTCCCCTAACATTCTTAATGCAACTGTTTGAATTATTCCTGGTTTATTTCAATAGTACTGTAGTTAAATCACAAACCACCTCAAATTATCCTTGTTTATCAGTCATCTACTTTTTTAATATGTTTGGTTTAGTGTTTTATTGATAAACTAAATCAGAAAACTGGAGGTTGTTCAATCACATGCCAGTATTTCCTGAATAATCTTTTGGGCCATTTTCGCCCAATAAACGATCAAACAAACAAACAAAAAAATCTACCTTTCCAATCAAAATTGCATGTTTATTTATTTGTTTTTGTCAACTTGAAGACATCAGGTTTTTTTTTTTTTTTTTTTTTTAAATAAGCACCAGTTTTGAAAGGGGCCTAGAGAATTGGAAGCGAGTCATGTTTGTGTTGGTAAAATTGACAAGAATATGCATTTGTTTTAATTTATGCCATATTAAACTGAATATTTATCGCTTTAAAAACAAAATATGCATCATCTGTCATTGGATTAATGCAATTTAGCATAATTATATTTTTCTAGGAGTTAATAATTACTAATTTTAGAAATAACCAAATGATTATTGAAAAATAATATTTCCCACAGCCCTAATTGATTAAAAGCAGACACCTTTAAATCTGTCTTCTGTCATGTCCATCCATGCAGTGCCCATTAAACACACCAAATGGCAGTGGTGGAGGGTGCTGGGAATTTGTGCGTGTGTGTCTGTGCGTGCTCGCGCGTGTGCTCGGTGTTTAGCACTTCAGAGGCAGCAGCTCGGGCTGAGCTCAGAGGCAAGGCACCAAGGGGGGCCCAGGCCCCAAATGATGTAGCATCTTCTCTGCCTCCACACTGAGCTGCCTTCATCCCAGCTCTGGGAATCCACTTTGAGGGTTTCCTCTGATCCCACGGGATTCTCTGTTGTCACTGCTCATCCCTCCCTGAGCCCCAGTTTGTGCTCTCTCTCTCTCTCTTTCTTTGCCTGATTATTATTGCTTTATTGTATTCTGCCCGTGCTGGAGTAAATAAAATGAATAAATGACTATTTTTTCCCTCTCAAATGAGAGGAAAAATGGTTTCTGTCAGCTTGAAAGATGTAATTAATTTGAAATAATTGTAGCTTTTGTCTGTCACGTTTAAACTTTAATGGCTTATTTCAAATTCATACAAAACGGGGCGTTCAGCCGCAGTCTGCTGCATCATGGGAAAACTATTCTGCGATATTATGATGTTCTAGAAACTGAGAATCTTTGAAGGCACAGAGCTTGTTGGTGCGATACATTTTATGCATTTAACCAGCTCATTTTGTGCAAACTCTGTATACACTCAGAAAGTGAGTTGTGGTGTTTTGGTTGCGAGTTTGTTGTGCAAAGTAAAGAATGCAAATTGTATATGCATTCCTTTTACTGTGACGTTTCTCACTGCATCTTTCCATTTTACTTTAGGCCGCACACTCTGCCACTGTAGATCTCCTTTGGTTTGTTTCATGCAGGAAACCCAAAGATCAAACCTGGATAGGGTTTGGAAATCAATACGATTTAGAGCATTCTTTTAATTTAAAACGCGACAGCTGGCGTTCATCCTTTTTTCAAGAGACGCTGCACTTTTTGTGGTAGGTTCTGAGAGGTTTGCATGCAGAGCACATGCGGTTTTGTTGCAGACAAAACTTGAAGGTTTTGTTATGTAGTGAATGTCCAAGCCCCCCCCTATTTAAAATGTAATTGTAGTCATCTCCACTCCACCCCTCATTCTCCAGCAGATGTGTAATTTGAGGCTGAGCAGCTTGTTACTGAGACACTCCAGGGACATGAAGGTGTACAGCTGACACTTGAAGTCAATTTTTATAGCATTCTCTCCCCCCCCCCCCCCCCCCCCTGCTTGTTGTAAAACTAATACATCCACTTTTTTCTCCATTTTATAAAAGTAGCTTTTATATCATCTCAGTTTTCTTGGTTTTATATCAAGATTTGATTATTTTGCTGATTGGTTGGCAAAAAGCAGCCACTGTTTTTATGTTTTGACAAAACATGTGCACTCATTTTATTTGGATAAAAACATTTTTTTTTGGGTAGAAATATAATCAAAGACCATACTGTTTCTTGCACCTGAGTATTGTTTTTTTTTTTCACATAATCCTAGTACTGATTTTAATTTATTTTTAAAGTCAGACTACACAGTAGCAGTGATTTTCAGTGATTCAGCATTGATTTTTGTAACTTCCATTTTTACACTTTTCCTGTGTTTAATGTATTTGTTGTTAGTACTAACTTCATTTCATGTTTTAAGCACATGTTCTTATTTTATTTGTCCTCATGTCTCCTGCAGGATTATAGACCTGGTTCTACCTTCATGTTGATGCTTTGTATAGTCAGACCTATGCAGGATATAAACAAAGACAAACTTCCTAAAGCCACAACAAATGCACCACTGCGTACAGAAATAACCAGGAAGGATCACCAGGGAGAATAAATATCACTTTTATGTGAAAACATTCTCACTGATTGAGAATTTACACCATCGAGACTATTGATCTGTGGGAAGTTTTACTATTACCAGTTTTCAGACCAAGAACAGTTTTAGCATGCCACTTATGTTTAAAAATAGTTGCACTTGCTTTAAGCAACTGGTAAAATCTTTACTATTGTCAGTAGTAGCATGCTTGCCTTTGGTCAGCACTTTGGTTGGCCTTGTCGCTGTTTTAAGTGCTCTATAAATAAAATGGTATGGTATGGTTTGGTAGTCTGAGGTACTCATAGAATGGGTGTTATGTTTAGTACTGTTTCCTCTCAAGAACAAGCCTGTCCATATGAAGGGGTGGCATTCTTCTGTGCACCACAGGCTGTAGTGGGCCACCATTTCTGATCATCCTGACTAGGCCTGTCACAATAACAAATTTTGCTGGGCAATTAATTGTCTCAGAAATTATTGCGATAAACAATGATATTGTTTGAAATTTGACAATAATCAGTAATTATGGTCAAATTTAAGGATAAATATTTTTTAATTTGTTTTGCATGTACCTTTTTCAGGGGGGAATATAAGACTAAACCAAAGGATGGATAGTAAGGGAGCGAGCAGTGTGTCTCTAAGAAAAATGGGAGGGAGGCCCCTTGACGTGACATGGGCTGTCTCTCTTCGGTTCTCAGAATGGCGGATGCTCGGTGTGGTTTGCGCTCTTTAGCATAGCATTTTTCACACAAAGCTTTTAATAAAAAAATCAGTAAACAAGTTCTCAGCTTCTTTTTGCAGAGAAAAACAACTTTTTACACTAAGGCACGGGTTTCAACCGTGAATTTTGGAGCTTCGACAAGACGGAGGATCCCCACCCCCCACCCCCCGAGGTTGGCCTGTTAGCTTAACTCGTAGCTTAGCTTCTCAGCTTAGCTGCTTTTAACAATCCAAAAATGCGATTTTGGAAGGTTAAAATGAATTTTAAAGAGAAAAGAGAAAGGGAGGGGTCAGTGAAGAGCACCGGAGTTGAGCTTTTTGTCATCCAGTGTCTTCAGTGGAAAGAGAGAGACGAAGAAACGATAGTCGATAAATGAAAATGAGGTTGATAATTTTCATTTATCATGCGATTAATTGATTTATTGTTTATTGCGACGGGCCTAATCCTGACTCTTGACTTTCAGTGTGCATGCTGCCTCTTGGATCAGTGATAGCCAGATATCACTTTTCTTTTCACTGTTATGCTGATGATCTACAAATTTATTTACCAATGAAGCCTAAAAATATTAACCTTCACACTCCTTTTTACTGATTGTATTGCCGACATTAAGCAGTGGCTTCACTGTAATTTTCTGTTTTTAAACGAAGGAAAGACGGGAGTGCATCTTCTTCAGTGATGATGCTCCCTGTAACTTTGGTGCTCTGACATCCAGTTCAGACCCACAGTTAAAAACTTGGGGGTGATGTCTGACAAGATCGTAAAGTTTGATAAACATATAGCCTCTGCAGTCAAGGCCTGTTTTTATCAGTTACGTCTCTTATCCAAAGTTAAGCCTTTTTTCTGATTTGGAAAAGGCCATTCATGCTTTTATCACTTCAAGGCTTGACTACTGCAATTCCCTATATACAGGAATCTCCCAATCCTCCATTAGACGCCTTCAGTTGGTCCAAAATGCTGCAGCTCGACTCTTAACCAACACCTCCAGACGTGAGCACGTCACCCCTGTTTTATTTTCTCTCCACTGGTTTTCAGTCGATTTTAGAATTAAATTCAAAATTTTATTATTCACTTTTAAAGCTCTCAATGGTCTTGCCCCACAATATCTGACTGATCTGATCGCTGTTTGTGAATATAGGGGAACACAGATCATCCAATACTTTTCTACTGGCTGTCCCAAAGTCCAAGTACAAACGATGGGGTGACCGGGCCTTTTCTGTCGTTGCACCCAGACTCTGGAACCATCTACCTCAGGACTTGTGCTCCATCACTGATATCGAGCATTTTAAGTCTAAACTTAAAACCTTTTTATTCACGCAGGCTTTTAATACCTAGTAGTTTTTTGGCAATCTTGATATGTTTTAATTGTTTGTTTTTAATCTTTAACTGTCTGATTTTTAATTCTTAATTGTTTGTTTTTAACTTCTGTATTGTGCAGCACTTTGTGCACCTTTTGGCTGCTGGAAAGGGCTCTATAAATAAAGTTTGATTG